AAATCCCTGTAACTATGTAATACCTGAGCAAATTTGCGCCGTATTAATCCCATGTCAATACCGTCAGACTTTGTTCCTTTCTTATCAAGAAGCTTCTTAAACATTTGTTTGTAGGATTCGCGAATTCTGCTTTCGTTGCCTTTTGAGGCCAACAACACTTTGATTTCCTCTATCCAATCCTGCAGTAAAAATACAGTAATCAAAAATTGTCACAGTTCGTGGCACATACGTTGTTGTATGTGTACTTTGGCAACCAGGTATCTATTCCTGCAATAAGAAGTTATCTGATTTCCCTTGCCTGGCTAACTTTACCAAACTCTGCAGATTTTCGTCAGATACTCCAGTTTTTTCCCGTAGTAACACTGGACCAGCTAAGCCCTCGATAGGGCTATCCAGTTAAACTGAAGTTAGTATAGTTCATAGTTTAGGTTTTAATACCTTAAATACCATATCAGGATTGGTCAGTTGTTCCAAGGCAATTATCAAATCATCCAACATTGGGAAAGATAAAGTTCCATTCAACCTTGGAGAGAAGATTTGACGATGTTAGTAGTAATTCAGATATGACATGCACAAAATACAATGATGGGTCCAACATAATCTGTCGGGGTGTTTAACAGGCGCTGACAATGGAGCGAAGCGCAAGCTGTCTGTCAACCAAGGTAGGGCGGATCAGTACTGCGAGAGCTACGGCAGTGCTTCGAGGTAAGAGTCTCAGACACGTTCCAAGAGTCTAGCTGGTCTAAGGGTGGGGAGAACTTAGATTACTGTTAGCCCTTCAACTCCCCCCCCCCTCCCCACAACGTAATCCATCTCTGCAGGATACACATCAACATGTATATTTCATCATGACCAACCTCTCTACAAACTGTTTGTTTTCCTGTTCCTCAATCGAGCCGCCAAATTTAAACTGTTCTCTGCTGATTTTTAATGGATAAAGAAGCGCCTGAACATATAAAAAAAATATTGACTCAATTTCCATATAAATGACAAAAATTTAAATACATCCATTTCTCAGTCTAAAACTATTCCCGATCCTTTTTTTAACTATACCTGAGGATAATGTTTTGCGAGATCCTCCAATATCCCGTGAACAGCCCGAGATTCCCTCTTATCAAGAAGTGCCACCATCTGATTGATCCAACTTATAAACATCCAGCAAGGAACATCTGAACTCTGGCAAAAATAGAAACAGAATATAGAATATAATTAGAGGTCCAGTAAGGACCATCTCTTATTGCCCCAGTGTTACTACAGTTTCTAAACTAAACTAACGTTATTTATACTGGTTAGCTCTATCAGTTCTAAACTGTTCTTCCTAGAGATCCAGTAAGGACTATCACTATAATTAATTTTATCACTATAATTAAAATGTTGTGTCAGAACATGCAAAGTGCACACTACTATTAGACTATCGACAAATTCAGTTACCTTTCTTTTAAAAGCCTCGACATCACTGCCGGGGTGTAATTCTACAAGCTGTAAAAGTCTTGGAAATTTTTGACGAGCTTCAGTAGATTCATACGACATGGATTTCAGCACGTAGCGTATCACAATACCTGGAAACATCTACAATAAGCAAGTTGGAAATATGGTGAGGTCTTGTAAAGGGAGTTCTGGCGTTTGAAAACGGAGTTCTGGCGTTTGAAATCCAAGTTCTGTCATTTGTAAAGGGAGTTCTGGCGTTTGAAAACCAAGTTCTGGCATTTGAAAACGGGCGTTTTGGCGTTTGAAAAGGTAGTTCTGGCATTTGAAAACCAAGTTCTGGCATTTGTAAAGGGAGTTCTGGCATTTGAAAACCAAGTTCTGGCATTTGTAAAGGGAGTTATGGCGTTTGAAAGGATAGTTCTGGCATTTGAAAAGGTAGTTCTGTCTTTGAAAAGTGAGTTCTGGCATTTGAAAAGGGAGTTCTGGCATTTAATTTGTATAGACGTATTTTAAGCTACTCAAAACACTCGTTGTCGTGTTTTATCAGATATAAAACGCTAGGCTGCGTCTCGCGTTTTATATCTGATAAAACACTCGTACTCGTGTTTTAAATAGTACTTAAGGCTCGTATGCACTTTTGCTTGCGATTTCTTTCTTCTGATACATGTGAACGAGTAGATGAGTTATAAATGTTCTGAGCACATGTACCCTCATCTGAGGCATCACAAGAAAGAAATCGCAAGCAAAAATTGCACGATGTAAACGGGTCTTCACATTTAACCACTTTGATACGATCGCGACAACCTCGGAAACAAGACTGAATGATTGAAAAAACTCCACGTTACCTTCATATCTAATTTCGGTGTTTGTTCGTTGTCTAAAAAAGCAAAAAGAGTTGAAATTATTTGAAGCATAATCATCCTCCATTAATGACTAAACTTTAACCAATATCTTTAGTGGGTCAAAGTTAAATTTAGATTAATAGACGAGTATACCTTCCTCCTTCAATCTCAGTAATCTATCGCAAAAGTTCGTCATTGTCATTAAACTTGTCACCAATTTCTTTCTATACATTTCGGAAATAAATAGAAAATTGTTGTCGAGTGGAAACAATAAGCTCAAGAAAACAAAACGAGACTAGGGATCCAAGGATAGTGTAAAGTTTCAAATTGAAAAAGACACTGCAAGAACTGTATAGGGTCACCGACAACCTAGAACAGTAAGAGCAGGCACAGGCCACAGCAGGCATAGGCTAGAGTAGGCACGTTATTCAAAAATGTGGTTTAGAACAGCGTTTTTAAGAGACTAAAAAAGAAAGTTACTTTACCTAGAATCTGAAGTCTTGAGGTTGTTTTCATTGCTTTGAGCGATTTTCACTGCCAATTGTAGAGTGGTGAACGATTTAGTTGCTATTTGGCTGATCACCTGCAAAAAAAATGAAGAAAAACATGATCCAATTGTACATAATGTAATCTTTTTCCTCGATTTTCTCATATCTTTAATATTTTACATACAAACAAACATCCTCGTAACTTTTCTCAGCTCGTATATTAAAATGGTCAAACCATGCACTGAACTCATTGTATTGCTATTACCGGCCATACTGACGACGGTTGTACGAAGGCTTGATAAATCATTGCATCCTTACCTTATCTAACTGATCAGCTTGTTTTCCAAAATACAGAGCACGTAATTTTTCTTTCAAACTACTGTCCAAAGAATCCCATGTCCCTATAGCAATAAAAGTCCTGCATACAATGCGAGCCTTGGTCTGACCTGAGTGTTATTTTGTCCTAACATAGGCCAGAGTGTTAGACTACCTAAATTAATGCTTTATACATTTCGATATATTTTGTGAAAACTTAAGACCTAATCAGGCCCATAATTTTGGTTTTAAAATTTAACAAACACAAGGTATTCAATAAACCAACAAACCATTTATTCCTAAAACGTTTGTGATGGTATCAAGACTGCTGCTCTTCAGTAAGTGATGTCTCACTCCAGTAGACAAGTCTTCTTGGAGTAGTTTAATGTCTTTTACTTTGTCTAACAAGACAATGATTTCGGTTAAAACTATCGAAAATTTGTTCAAATTTTATATACACTAAACTAAACCACACTATACCATACCATATCATACCATACCATACCATACCATACCATACCATACCATACCATACCATACCATATCATACCATACCATACCATACCATACAACTCTAAACCATATAACACCATATCATACCACCCCTCACCACACCTTTCATATACAAAACCATACCATACCATACCATACCATACCATACCATACAACTCTAAACCATATAACATCATATCATACCACCCCTCACCACACCTTTCATATACAAAACCATACCATACCATACCATACCATACCAGGAAAAAATTATTTTCTTCCTGGGAGCACAACCTGGAGACAAAAATTTCCTGCAGACCAACGGAGTATTTTTGTGCTAAATCTACATGTGCATAAACATATAGTGTTCTAGCTGACCATTGTTTTAAATTCAAGGAATAATGTCTGTCAACCAGATGTTGTTGCGCCCATAGTAGGACATGGGTGTTAAGGTTTCCTTCAAATTTTCAATAGCAAATCTTCAATCAAACTAATTGCAGCTGTTTTTAAACAGTTAAAACATTTCCTGCGAGCAGTGCTCGCGTGCTCGCCTATTTTTTCCACCCCTGACCATACCATACCATACCATACCATACCATACCACCCATACCATACCATACCATACCATACCATACCATACCATACCATACCATACCATACCATACCACACCATACCATACCATACCATACCATACCATACCACATCATCCATATCACCGTACCACACTACATCATACCAAGTTGCTCTATAGCAGAAATCGCAGTATCAATGGCTTCTAATGGCGCCAGAATAAGACATTTCTTGCAGTTGAGGTCACTGTACGTATGAGTCCACAATATTTCCAGCTCGCGATCATTCTTTAAACGATCTCTGATCAGATGTAAGGAATTTTGTAACTGTCTCTTTGCAACTGGAAAATTTACCTAAAAGATAAAAAAATTATGTTGAATACAGAGTTGTTATAGGTGGGTTACACTAAGCAGTATCGCGCAGCAGATGGTGGTGAACCTGCAGTTATCAGAGTGAGAAAATAATGTTTCATTCTTTTCATTATATGTGGTAGTCTTGTATTTGGTGGTATTAAAGCAAATAGTTTAAAGTGGGACTAACCACAAATATGATTTTTTTTTGTATGTGTAATACTTAGGTCATTCGAAGAAGAAATGTAATATATCTTTATAATAAAAAATCCCATCTTGATCAACTTTTTCACTGTCAAAGTTTCTGGATATGATGTCATTAGGTGAATTGCAAATTAGTTTTCCTTTGTTTTTTGTACCAAAATTTCACCTAATGACATCATATCCGGAAACTTTGAGAGTGAAAAAGTTGATCAAGATGGGATCAAGATCCCATCTGCTGGACGTGTCGGCTTAGTGAAGTCTACTTATTCTCATGAACAAAGTTAACTCAATTTTTACGTCAAATGTGAATGAAAGATACATTAGAAGGAAACTACCTGTCCAGTGGCAACTTCGGCAAGCCTTAAACTAAACATAACTCGCTTTTTCATAAAATTATTTTCCAGTTGCTCTGTGTTGATAGAACAATCCATTGAGTCCTCACTGCAAAAATCATGAAGAAAGAATGTAAGAGAAACGAACAAATAACGGAGAAATGAACGGACTAAAAGCCTTTTTACTGAAAGCCTTTTGGGTCTCAGTCAGGAATAGAATTAAGACATGTAATGTGGCGACAGACGGGGGGGGGATATTACTAAGTCAAGCTTTGAGAACAACCAGATACCTTAAAAGATAGGAATTGCCCATCTATAGTATAATATTTATACCTATTGAGAAGTTGTGAAGACTTGTTGAACTTCAGTAAGATCTTGTCAAGATACACGGATCTGAAAAGGATAAAGAATAGGGACTATCATCCGTGGGCTCATCTGGAATGTTCTAATGAAATCGTAGATAATACACCTCACTAACACATATATTAACACATATAATTTTTCTTCCATAATCTTTGAGGTTCAGATTTGATGTCGACTACCGCTACTATTAAGGGACCACTAACCAATCGGATGCGTTTGATATATTCCATTAACCAATCAGATGCATTTGATATATCCCATTAACCAATCAGATGCGTTTGATATATCCGATTAACCAATCAGATGCGTTTGATATATCCGATTAACCAATCAGATGCGTTTGATATATCCGATTAACCAATCAGATGCGTTTGATATATCCCATTAACCAATCAGATGCGTTTGATATATCCCATTAACCAATCAGATGCGTTTGATATATCCCATTAACCAATCAGATACGTACTAAACCAGTCAGAGGTAGTGGTAGTGAAGTCAAATCTGAACCTCTCTAATGACATAATGTGTACAGTAACATACATCAAGTATACCTATTTGTCATAACATCATCCCAAATATCCACAGAATGCAGTTTAGGGTCCGGTTCACGTGACGACCATCTCTTTAACAGCGACGTGGTTGACGAAGTCGTTGAAAAATTCCCTGAAACATTTCAAGCAATATCATACGAAACAATATATATTCGAATACAAAAGCGGGAGAATCAGTATAATACAGTGAATGAGTCGAGTCCCTAAATGTTCTGATATATCCCACCTTCATTGCTGATAAAATCCAGAAATTCTTGCATTTCAGTCAGAGCTTGAAGTGACTGCAGTTGCGCTGAACGACTGGAAGTCATCATCGAGTCCAGCCCTGACCAATCCTAGACATTACAGCAAAGGAATGCTACTGTAGAAATAGCCCTTATCTATTTGTTAAATCACACTCCGATTTCCTCCTGTTGTAAAATTGGATCAATAAGGGATATATCTCACTAGCCCTCTGGGAAGAACAGTTTAAAACAGATACAGCTATCTAGTAGGGCCTATAATGTTAGTTTAGATTAAGAAACAACAACGAATAGTTGATTCAATAATATCTTACCTCTAGAAAGGTCTGTAGACAAGAACCAGTGTAATACCTTGCCCTGTCGTAATCGTCTTGAAGTATAAACAATAATGCCAATATGTCGCTGAATTTGTTCTGTAAAAGGAAAATGATATCATTCCTGGTCTAAATTTTGAAATATACGCGTTACGTCCCAGTAAACTGTCGTTCACATTTGATCGTCAATTCTTATCGACTCTCGTCAACTTTCAACTGGTTCAAATTTTGATGAGAGTTGATGAGAGTTTTCGCTACGCGCGCGGTAATATCCAATCAACTCTCATCAACTCTCATGCAAACTCTTGTTCTCGTTTGACCGGGGCATGTGAGTTCTCAACTCTCATGCAAACTCTCTCTTCTCTCAACTCTCATCAACGTTTTATCGTAGGGTTTTAAAATATGAATATAGACACAGCAATTATATTTTGGTTCGTTTGGCTATTCAATCGGTAAAATTACCTCAAGGTAAGCTTTTTGTTGTTCGTCTTTCAAAGAGTTGGAAATAAAATTGAGAAACTGATCATCATGTTTTCCAGAACAGAACTGTTTCGTCTTGGAACGAAGAAGAAAAGGCAGATAGTGTTCCTAAAAATAAAATCTCAAATCATTTATAAAAGCGAAACACGAAGGAAACCAGCACGGTATCGTTCTCTTAATACATGCACAGTAATAAACGCCCATAAATTAACTCAACTATTGCTCTGAATATTTCTGTAAATACAAGAATGTTTGAGAAATAATATAACAAACTCGAAAGCTGTTTATTATACCGGCGTATAGAACAGCTCAAAGAATAGTTATATATTGTCACTGCTCGCTTCTCCCGCACAATACCTTTAACTGAAAGAATATTAAGATTGGGGATAAATAATTTTTAGCCAAAGGTACACTACGGCGAAGCTAGCTCCAGAAGTGTCGCAGTCAAGGGGATGTTCTTCCTTTTCGGTGGCAAATGCTCAAAAATACCGATTTTGTGCCACTTTTATACTGTCTGACAATCTCATGGTATATATGGATGACCAACTAATCATCTCATGCATAAATTTTCAAATTATATGGTATTGTGAGAGAAAACTCCCAGTGAGAATATCGTAAAAAAACTCGGCATTTTTCAACCGACAACTTTCGGTGTTTTATATACGCTGGTAATAAACGCTTTCTCGCTCATTATACATTACTTGAAATAGGAATTCTCACCTTGAAATATTCATCTCTCCACATTTGATCAAGATCTACGACGCCATCTTTCTCATCAACATCCACCAAGCAAGATTCTTCCATTTTATCCCAAAGTGTTAGACGTTTACAGCACTGACGAAACAACAAAATAAAACGAGACTCTATTTAAAATTAGTTTTCCAAGTATAAACCGAGCCCTAAAGCTGAAATTATTTCGCAAGTCGGTCGGGAAACTGGAACCACACGAAATATTTTTGTTAGGCCTAAGTTCGACCTGGCACATTTCGACATTTAAATTGTAGTTTAATATCTCGCAATCATGAACTTACTTCTAATATTGAGTCATCCCAGAGGTCCACTTCAACTTGTAAAGCATCACCTTCTGACGACTGGAAACGAATCAAAATTACTTTACTGCATGTGTATGAATCAAACTAAAGCAATAATTTTCACTGTTGAACTAACGTGGCTTGTGTCTGAACGATCGGTAGCAAAAAACGATCGGTAGCAACTGCCAACAAACGATCTCCGCCCGAAACATTAAAGTGTTTTTTCAGAAAGTTCAGACACAAACCACGACAGCTTATACTACCCACACTGGACCACCGCGTTTGAGATATCTTTTTCAGGTAGTTCAGACACAAACCACGGCAGCTTATTGTAGAATAATACCTACACTGGACTACCATGTTTGAGAGCTTTTTCAGGTAGTTCAGACACAAACCACGACAGCTTATTGTAGAATACTACCTACAGTGAACCATCAAGTTTGAGATATCTTTTCCAGGTAGTTCAGACACAAACCACGACAGCTTATTGTAGAGTATTACCTACACTGGACCACCATGTTTGAGATATCTTTTTCAGGTAGTTCAGACACGAACCACGACAGTTTACCGTAAAATATTAGCTAGATTACTACGACAGCTACGTTTGCAATATCAATATTGATACTATAACAAGGCCCAAGCTTAATAGTAATGCTTACTTGGGAGTACAGCTTAAGTGCCTTCGTGTAATCTCCTCTGCCTTCAGCCTCAAGTGCCTGTCTCGTGATAGCCTGGGTACCAATCTGGCTGCTAAATATCCCTCGAAGTACATCAAAATCCTCAATAGACTTGTACAGCCTACCAAAAAGATATTAATTATTATATAAAATCTAATGCCACAGTAATAATTATTTTAATTTCAGTATAGGTAACGTAACGTAATCTTTTGTTATTTCTGATTTATACAAAGTTTTTCATTCTAATAAATTTCTTGAACTCATTAACAATTAATGAGCAAAGACAAAGATTACCACGGCCATGTTCGAGGCTGATAATGATATTCTTTTGTTAGCGTTCCTCAGAAGCAACCGTACAAATAAGTCAAATTTCTCGTTCAATTTTTAGATACCAGTTCGTTTTTATCACACATTCGAAGTCGTTCAAAATAGTGATTTTAAAAAAAACATCAAAATATGCCTTAGCAAACACGTTTCTCAACACGATTTTTTGCTGTTTCCAAATCACTAGAAAAAACACCCATACTCGTGTGTAATATTCTACATCTTACTTGGACAACTCAATCCATGTTGTCGTGGTCTCACGAGATGGACTGGCACTAGTTCTCTGTCTCTTCGTTGGACGCTCCCCAGGGTCTTCAGATATTCGCAAAATTTGTTTCTCCAACAACATTATGCCTAAGTAAAATTCATGACACAATGGTTAATACACACGAGTCTTTGATCTCTGTGACCCGGGTTCATTTGCTGCACTATACAGTTGTCTGATTATAATTTCACCTCAAGTCGCATTTGAGAAGAGTGCTTCCAGTTTGACTATACCAAATATCAGATTTTTTCCCCCGGAACGCCCGAGTTCTGCGGGGTCTACCTGTAGTAACATTAAAGTAATACGGTAAGGCCCTTACTGGAACTCTAGGAAGAACAGTTTAGAACTGGTAGAGCTATCCAGTATAAATAAAGTTAGTTTAGTTTAGGTTTCCCCCTGCAGTAACACTGGATGAATAAGAGATGATCCTTACTGGACCTTTAGGGAGAATAGTTTAGAACTGATGGGGCTATCCAGTATAAATAAAGTTAGTTTAGTTTAGGTTTCCTCCTGTAGTAACACTGGATCAATAAGAGATGATCCTTAATGGATTTCTAGGGAGAACAGTTTAGAACTGATAGAGCTATCCAATATAAATAAAGTTGGTTTAGTTTAGGTTTCCTCCTGTAACACTGGATCAATACGAGATGATCCTTACTGGACCTCTAGGAAGAACAGTTTAGAATTGACAGAGCTATCCAGTATAGAGTTAGTTTAGTTTAGGTTTCCTCCTGTAGTAACACTGGATCAAAAAGAGATGACTCTCAATGGACGCCAAGGGAGAACAGTTTAGAACTGACAGAAGCATCCAGTACAAAGTTAGTTTAGTTGAGCATTCTTCCTAACACTAAACTAATCAGGGATGACCATACATATTAAGTGACCAAATACACACCAATAGGTTGTTGTAGACTTCCGATCGAGATTGTTGTCACTTTGCCAGCTTCCAGGGACAATTTTCCTTCATTATAGCACACGTTCTAAATAAAACGATGAAAAATTCAGTTCTAATTTAATTTGTGATGATGCTCTCTAAGTGTACTCACACCGAAAGAAATGAAAATTTTGCTTGACCACGGTGGGAATCGAACCAGCGACCTTTGGTTTTCTGGTTCAATGCTTTACCAACAGAGCTACGAGGTCAAGTAGGTTCGAGTGGGCAATATTTCAGAACTCTTCTTAGTTCCTTCGATATCAGTGTATGTTACGTGATTATGAATGTAATGGGGTATGAACTTGAACTTGTGGTTAGAGCTCGACAACTGGACTCTGTAGCTCAGTTGGTTAGAGCTCGACAACTGGACTCGGTAGCTCGGTTGGTTAGAGCTCGACAACTGGACTCTGTAGCTCAGTTGGTTAGAGCTCGACAACTGGACTCTGTAGCTCAGTTGGTTAGAGCTCGACAACTGGACTCGGTAGCTCGGTTGGTTAGAGCTCGACAACTGGACTCTGTAGCTCAGTTGGTTAGAGCTCGACAACTGGACTCTGTAGCTCAGTTGGTTAGAGCTCGACAACTGGACTCTGTAGCTCAGTAGTAGAGCGCTGCACCGGAATCTCAGGGTCACAGGTTCGATTCCCGCCAGGGACTGAAAGTTGCATTTTTCGCTTCTGTTCCTGTTCTGTCTAATAAATGTATATAAATTTCCACTCGACAATTTCCATCTACAATACCCATTAAATATCTTCACCTGAGCATGTACAACACAATCATCACATTCATAATCATAGGGTACATATAAATATCGAAAGAATCAGATTCAGTAAAAATCTCACATCTTGTAACAAGTCTGCCAACAATTAGCCGTCAGCAAGTTTTGTTCGCACTGTTTGTCCAAGTTGTCCACAAGTTTGGAACAAGCTGTTAACAACTTGTAACAACCTTGTTGATATTATCGTATTTGTTGCAAGGTTGTTCCAACAAGTCCGACACAGTTATCATATAACAATATTGTTACAATCTTGTACCGTCAATCTTGTAACATTCTTGTTATATCATGACTGTATCAGACTTGTTAGAACAACTTTGCTACAAGTCTGATAATGCCACCAAACTTGTTACAAGTTGTCAACAGCTTGTTCCAAACTTGTTACAACAACTGGGAACAAGCAGTGCGAACACAACTTGTCGACAGCTTGTGAACAGATTTGTAACAACTTGTTTGCAGACCTGTGACAACTTGTGCGTTTTTATGTGTGTAATATAGCACCTAATCGAACGGACTTGACCTCAAACCAAATGTCGCGGGTTCGCTTCCCATCGTGGTCAACTATGCATTGAATCCTTTCTATCGTGCATTACCACGATAAAATTTAAGTTTCAAATCTACCTGGACACAGGAAATAAAAGGTGGGAAATATTGCAACGATGACGTCATCATGTTATTCAATGCTCCCTGGATATCCCTAAATGTCTCCTCTGCCTGCGTGTCTGTCAAATTCTCGTCCATCTGAGAGAAAACGCCTTGAAATATTGCGGAAAATAACTGCTTCGCGATGTTGCTGTCACACTGAAAAATAATAAAGGTTAAGCTAGTCACAAACGTCGCTATATAGATTAAGAATTTAGTGATACAGTACAGGTGTACATAATGTTAGTTTAGTTTATGTTTCCTCCTGTGGTATAACACCGAGCCAAAATACGACTCTTAGTGCATCTCTAAAAGAAAGAGGTTGGAACTTGATACAGTCGTGTAGAGCTATCCAGTATAAGTAAAGTTAGTTTAGATCATTAGCAAAGAGAAATATTATGCTTTGTAGTAAAAAGCATATAACGAGATTTCTATGCATAAATTCAATTTCCAAGTAATATTTAAACAGATTTTATGCATGCTTTTCTTTAATTAACTTTTTAAGTTTGGTTGTGCTAAAACTCTCTGTTATGACTTACAAAAGAACACTATTAGACATCATTACTGCATGGCGCCATTCATAATTATCCATCTGATAAATATACCGATGGTATTTATCAAAGCAAAACTATGAATGAAAATATCTGCCTTGTAGTACACACTCTATTGAGAAAAAAGTAGCATTTAATAGCAAAGAAAATCGATTTATAAAGCTTTGTAGTAAGAAAAATATGGCGAGATCCTCATGAATTCAAGTTCCATGTATTTTTATGAAAACATTTTAAGCATACTTGTCTTCCAATTAACTTAATTGCTTATGTTAAAATAGTTTTGCTATAATTTATAAAAGAACGCAGTTTGATCATATCAGATAAAATATGTCAATGGTATATTTATCAAAGTGAAAATGTAAATGAAATTATAGCCTTACTGGCTTACATACATCAATGTCTGATGTTTTGTAAACTCTCTCTTGGGTCAAGAAGTTTGAACATTACGGCAAGAAAATAGTTTTTAAACATATACATAATGTTTTGTAGTGAGAAAGATATAACGAGAGTCCAATGAATTCAATTTCCAAGTTATATTTAAAAACATTTTATGCATACTTTTCTTTAAATTAACTTTCATTGGTTTGGTTGTGCTAAAACACTCTATAAAGACTATATGACTTACAAAAGAG